TTCCAAAGTTTACTTTAAAATTTTCCTTATGAGCCACAAGATTTAAGTTTCTAAATCCACAAATCAAAATGATTTCTTATTTGTACTAATATATCTTAGTACTCATTAATAATTGATACTTACAAATGTGTCATGACTAATAAATTCAACTAGATACTAAATTTTAAAGACTATATCTAGGAGGAATTTGCAAATGTTTACTAAGTTGCTATTGTTTTTCAAAGCATTGGCCAGATACATGGAGTCGAACTGTGTTTTAGGTACATAGGAAATAAGAGAAATTAAATTCAACATAAATTTCTTGAATATTGATTTTAATGTATAAATGAATTACACTATTAGGGAAGCAAAGACATTTAAGGCATGCGTGCTCTTCATCTATACAGAATTTATGATCTAGAGATGACATTCGGAAGACAGAGCTATTAAGAAATAACTAGCTAATGGACTTGATAATAATAGCTAAAATTTATCACTTAAACTGTCAGTCACTGTCCTAATGCTTTATCTATAGCATTATCTCCCTTAATTCTTATAATCTCTCTATCTATTAGGCACACTTGTTATCCCAATAAACTTGACACTCAGGAAGGTTTATTAAATTCTCCATGGTCACATGGCTAGGGAATGGGTAGGTGAAGAAATCAGAATGTAGACCTATGTCCATATATCCTTAAAACTCATACTCAATGGGTCATAACTCAGGCACTTCAACAACTCTCTCCCTCCAAATGTTGACTGGGCAGATGTTTTACAGACATGGTGCCTAAGCTAGGCCTTGAAGGATGAAGAATGGACATAGGGCACTAGAGTCGGGCATTGCTAATAGGACTAAATCTAGAAGTATAAGCCAAAAGGAACCTTGAAAGAACAAAGGTGTTTGATCCAAAATGGTCATTTAGTTGAATTCCTCTGCAGAGAAACTTTTGAAAAAGCAGATAAGATTCAAGTGCCTATGGTCTGAACCTCCCCTGTGTTATTCCAGGTAGGCTAGATAAACAAATCCAGAGACACTCATATGTGTGTAAAAGAGAGCTTTATATCAAAGGGCAGTTGAATATTGAGAAAACATCCCAGTCCAGTCCAGATCAAGTCCATAATTCTGATAGATATCAATCTATAACATCCTCTTCAGACTCATGAAACACATGCAATGACACCAAATGCAGGACAATCAAAGGCCAGTGGATTGAAAGTCTTGTGGATCCCTTGGCATTGTAAGCATCTCAGTGTTGATAGAGGTCTCCACATGGTTCTTGCAGCTCTCAAACTCTGAATGCCTGAGGGTAGCTTCATGTGGCTTCTCCTCAGAAATGGCTCGCAGGAAGTAAGGAAAGAAAAAGCGAGAGAGAAAGAGAAAGGAGGAAAAAAACGGAGTTCCCAGAGTCCTCAGGAGAAAGCCATGCCCACACAGAGGTGTTATTGGCTATGACCCGATTGACACAATAGACTCCACCCCTTCACTATTAATTCTCTCAAGTGCCAAATTGACATCAGATTATGTAACTACCACATCCCTGAAGGAACAAGAATTTATGCCGCTGACACCTTTGTATTTAAGAGGAAGGAATTGACGTGGAGAGTCTGCCCCCTCCCCCAAACAAGACAAAACAGATTCTGTGCTGCCTGGCTGCTCTCCAGGCCTCAGAGGAGAGGAGAAATGGTTAGTGGGTGCTTGTTCTTCACATCCACCCCTAAACTAACACCATGGAAGTCACTAGTGCATTTCTCCCAACATCCTTGCCAGTGCTGGGTGGAGTCTGACTTCAGGTGAATGAAGCACGCTCACATTCTGGGGTTGAAAGGGTCTCAAACTGCAAGCTGTGTTCTAGCTGGATGAAAGAGATGCAGATCAGCTACAGGGGGACTCTCTATGCCCACCTAGAACTGCCAAGGACTGGACTGTGGAGGAACTTCCCCAGAACACCAAGGGAACAAGTCAGCCCTGGGGGAGTGTAAATATAAAATAAACAAACCCCCTGTGTTAGTCTAGGTAGACTAGAGAAACAAATCCATAGACACTCATATGTATTTAAGAAAGAAGTTTATACACAGAGCAATTGAATATTGAGAAAACATCCAGCCAAGTCCAAATCAAGTCCAAAGTCCAATATTAGCCCATATGTCCGAAACCAATCTATAAAGTCCTCTTCAGGCTCACAAAACACATGCAACGACACTAAATGCAGGAAGATCACAGGCCAGTGGGTGCTACGTCTTTTGGACTGTGCAGTGGAAGCATCTCAGTGCTGGCAGGGGTCTCTACGTGCCTTCTCTGGCTCCAGAAGTCTGTTTGCATCAGGGCAGGTCCATCTGGCTTCTCTAGGTCCAGGGCTCTCACTGCTATCAGCATAGACCCATGTGTCTTGTCAGTAGAGAGTCTCTCGGGGAGTGAGTCTGGTCAGTAGAAAGTCTCCAAAGGAGTGAGCAGAGAGAAGTGTCTTTTGTCTTGAAGAAGGAAATCCAGGAGTTCCCAGAACTCTCAGGAGAAAGCTATGCCCACACAGAGGCCTCATTGGATATATAGTGATTGACAGACCAGACTCCATCCCTTCACTTGTAATTCTCTCAAATTGACACCAGATTATGTAACTACAACACCCTCTTTAAAACAAAAGAAACAAAACAGAAAAACATTGCCAATCATTCCCCTGGGGTATAAGGTGATTGCATTGATAATATCAATACTTTAATCAAATGGAATAGAATATAAGGTAGTGTTGATATAAGGAGTTTGTTAGTATAGTCCAACAGTAATCCATGAGTTGTTGCTTTGTACAGATTGATTTCTTAATTGATTAAGCTCTGTTCACAATGAGCATGGAGGTTGGTGGTAGGAGAAATGTTCCTGTATAATTTCTTACAAGGGCAGACCCTTGCCTCTCAGGTTAAAACCTGTCATATTAGTGCAGTGAAGTACTAAGTATATATGTTAGTCCCCTTTCATTAAACACCCACTAAGCCAGGGGTCCTAAGCAAGGTCCAACAACGACCATTTCCACAGTCACTGGACCTTGGGTGGAATGTTGGCTAGTTCGTTTTAGTACAGGGACTCTGTGTATTATTTCCATCTTCTTTTTGATGATTCCTGAATCACTCAATATTTTTCTTATAGAATCTTTCAATATCACAACTCAAGGCTTGAATATTTTTATTGGGTTCTTTCAGCTAAAGATATACTGAGCACGTTCTTCTCTTTTGCTTTTCTAACTCTAGGTTGTTGCACATGTCATTATAATATTTGATTTTGTCTGCTCATACTGCCCTTTGAAATTTTCTGTTCGCTCTTTGACCTCATCTTTTCTTTGATTTGCTTTAACTACACCATGATTAAGAGAAAGTTTTAGTCTATTCTGAAATCCAGTTTGACCTTTTCTTTCTTTCCTGTTTTTTGAAGGAATTTTGCTTTCTTCATGAATGATATTCTTGATGTCCTTTCACAGCCCATCATGTCTTCTATCATTAATGTTCAGTGCAGTGACTAGGTTGTTGAAATTCAGGTCAGGTCATACAAGGTCATATTTTCATTCCCATGGATTAGTTTTAATTTTCTTCAGCTTCAACTTGAACTTATATGTGAGCAACTGATGATCTGTTCCGCTGTCAGAATCTGGCCTGGTTTAGCTGCTGAGCGTGAACTTCTCCATGATCTCAAATGTATCCAATTTGATATCTGTGTCTTCTACCTGGGAAGCCCAGGTGTGTAGTTGCTTTTTGTGTTGTAGAAATAAGGTATTTGCTATGAACAAAGAGTTGGTCTTTCAAAATTCTATCATGTGATCTCCAGCTTCACTTCTATCACCAAGACTATAGTTTTCAACTACTGTTCCTTCCTCTTTGTTTCCAGCTTTGGCATTCCAATCACCAAGAACTATCAATGCACCCTGATTGCATGTTTGATGAATTTCTCACTGATTACTCTGATAGAATTCTTCAGTTCCTACAGCTCATGTTTCTGGGGTTGGTCCATAAATCTGAATAAGAGTTTTACTGACTGGATTTCCTTGAAGGCTGATGCATTTAATCCTATCCCAGACAGCATTGTACTTCAAGATTGATCTTGAAATAGTCTTCATGATAATCAGTGTGATGCCATTACTCTTAAATTTGTCATTACTGGCATAGTAAATAATATGATTTTCTGATTAACACTAGACAGTACAGCCTATTTCAGCTCCCTACCATATGGGATATTGGTCTTTATAAGTTCTATTTAATTTTGACGACGTCCAACTTTCCTCGATTCATGCTTTGCACATGCCATGTTCTGATTACTAGATTTTTGCTGCTGTTTCTTTTTACCTTGAGTTGTGCCCCATCATTGAATGAAGAGCTTGATGGTTCCACCCCCACAGACTGCTCCATTTGCTTCATCCTGGTCAACGCTGCTTTGAGATAGCCGCTCCTCCTCAATTATATGTTGGAGGCTAATTATCTGGCACTATCTCTGACAATGTTCTGCTTCCAGTCATTAGGCTTGCAGTATGACAATCTTTCAAAGATTTGTATAAAGTTTCCAGTCACCCCTTCCTCCAAAGTGGGGAGCTAGTCCCTTCTCCATTGTATACTCTTAATCTGGAAGCTCTGTTGAAACCTGTTCACTTTGGGTGACCCTGCTGGCATTGGAAATACAATTACAGAGCTTTCAGCATCACAGCAATGCACAAGCCACCTCAGTACGATAGACTGACAGAGAAACTTACTTTTTACTAATACTGTTTTTAGTTACTTTATCTGTAATATAAAAGTAACTATTACTATTACTGTATGTAAAGGTGTATAATAAAAATATTAAAACTCAATGTTATATTGCGCTGTTGTACTTACACATTTTCGTATTCAAGTGGCATGTTATAAGTCAGTAAAAACATTTGATTTTATCAACTCGTTCCTACTGAGCTTTCTTCATCTTTAATTTTTTTTAATTAATAAAATTGGAGAAATTGATGTTCTAGTGTTAATATGAGTTTTCTGTTTATTTATTTTCTGGTTCTCGATAGGTGACAATAATGAAGAGGAAGATGTGGACATGAAAGAATATTCAGGTATTACACTAATGATTTTATTACTTAAGGGGATAAATTTTGTTGTTTGTATATACCTCACAGTTTACAAAAAGATTACAAAGGTTGGTAAAGATGGACATGTACTTATTTACACTTAAGAGACTAAATATATTTCTCAAAATAACAAATATAATTTGGGTGTGGACCAATGGTCCATGCACTTAGAGCTAACCTGGCATGGCAACACTACAGCATCAGTGTATAACTGTAGTCCGTGGGGTTTTCTTTGATTTAAAAAAAAATTATTTATTTTATTTTATGTTATTATTGAAAATATACACAATAAAAGCATGCAACAGCTCAGTTTTCCACGTGCATATTTCAGCGACGTTGACTACATTCTTCTCGCTGTACAGCCATTTTCACCCTCCCCTCAAGGTCACTGTGGATTTGAGTCTACTCGGTAGCAGTGAGTTTGACTTTTGAGACACTAAATGTAGTACACCACACAATATAGGCTTCCTTTTCCCTCCTCTTTCTGCCTTTGATAACCACTAATAAACATTGTTTTATAGACAGTTGCCCATTTTTTATCTTTTTAAATAAGTCAGACGATATACCGTGTATTCTTTTATGATTGACTTATTTTATTCAGCATAATGTCTTTAACTTCCTCCCATATATCAAGCATGTTTCAAGCACATATTAAGACTTCATTTCTTTACTGGTTGAGTGGTATTCAATGTATATGTCCCACATTTTAAAAATAGTTTGATTGACATCTAATTCACAAAACTACAGTTCATATTAAGAAGAATTACATAATTATAATCATAGTAAATTTTAGAACATTTTCTTTGTTCTTGTCCTCATCATTATTAGCTCTTCTCTTCTGCCCAATCTTCCCTGCCACACCCACAAGGAGCCACTGATTCACTTACTATCTCTCTAGATGGACCCAGCCTGGATTCCTTATATGGATAAACATTAAATACAACAACAGCAATAAAAATAAAATTAAGAACAATAACAAAGTAAAATAGGGCTAAACCTCAATTGAATATCAAGGAGAAAATATTAGAAACTAGAACATATTGAACATGAGTCAAAACGGAGACCAAATGATAAGATGATAAAGTTTAACTTAGCAGCATCTGCAATAATCCACTTCATGATAGCAAAGCTAGTCATCTCCTTGGTCTATGGTGAGAGGAGATTGATCAGAGACTTCATCCATGTGTATTTCCCCTTCACTTATTTTTTTTTTAACCAAAATGACTTTGCAATGGGTCAAAAGGGAGATCAAATGATAAGATATTACATTTTAACCTAAGTACATCTGTGATCAGCAACTTTACCATGTTCTCTGTCTGATAAGAAGGCTATTCACATCCCTCAATGATGGACAGGCGGACTTAATCAGAAGCTTAGACCATGTGTGGACTGCGGAAATGGGATTTTGGGCTTCCCCTGTGATCCTTAGTCTTCTGAAAACCAGATGTTTACAATTTAAGCTCTGATACATTCTCTCTTTTGGATTTGGGTTATATTATTTGCAACTCTTGAATCACACAAACTGGTGATGCCTCTCTTAGATGGTTGCTTGCATCAATACAAATCTTTAAGACCTGAGACTTTATTCCTTCAGATAGATGTGCATCATCTAGCTTCTTCACCACACTTTGCTACAACACCCATATCTTCAGTAATCTCTTCATGAGGGCAAGCATCAAGTAGAGCCATGACAAAAAACTAATTATTCTTAGATTGGGGCTAGAATTAAGTGCAAGCTCAAAATCAATTTGTAGATCTGTGGTTTATATATATCTCTCATTCACCATAGATACATCATTGTCAGTTTATGTTAGAAAGCCTTAGAAATCATTCCACTGAGGAATACTGTAGTTCCATTAAGAGTATTATTAATTTAGCTAATGGTATAGAATTTAAGACATTGTTGAGGAAAGGAAAATATATGAGTATATTCCAGCTATGAACTGCAATACATGAATTGTTTACTTACACAGATTAAACTCTTTAAGTGACTAGACACTACTTACACAAACAATGGGGCTGGTGCTAGGGCAAATTTTCAATAATATTTGTTCACTATGGCAAAGTCATGCCTACCATAGTAATGCATAGGATAATAAAACAAGAATGGCATTAAATAATAAGTATATAGTAGTTCTGGGTCTCCATTCATTGGGCATCCTCCAGGCAAGAGATCTGAACCAAAAGTCCAGATGTTCTATCCCCTTGGGGTAGCAGTCATCTGCTTCTTCTCACACTAGGGAGTTTCAGCCTTAAGGACAAAGGCTGTAGGTGAGTTTCAGGTAAAGCCCAGTTCACTCAGTGGGGTTTCCCCATTAAGTATTGCTAGTGTGGCTTATGAAGGATGTTGTGCACCTTGAAAGAACAGAGTCTAAAGTCTCTGTAGTCTATAACACATGCTCTGATTCACCAAAGGCTGGATAGAAACTGGGTCAAAAGTGTCCAATTAGGAAGACAGTACTAGGCACATTGGGTTCTATATACATTTTGTTAAGTGATTTTTACTGATGGGAGGTGCTGCCATCAGAAATGTTCATTACTTTCTCCGAGACATACTTGCCCCACTCCCCCATCTGGACTTGACTTCCAAGTAAGGTTTCCCTATCACTCCGGTCGGGGTGTCTGCTGGTTTGGGGTGACCTTAGCACAGTTCTGTATGACAGCCACTGAGGGGTCTTTCCCATCTCCTCACATCTTGAAAAACTGAACCCAGCTGAGGCGAGGTCGCCTCGTCAAAGTGTTTTTTAAAAGGGTATGTCTCATCTTATCCACTCATCTGTTGATAGGTGTTTAGGCTGTTTTCCACCTTTAACTATTGTAAATAGCGTTGCAATAAACATCTGATTATCAGCTTTCCTACTTTCTGATGTTTTGAGAATATACCGAGGAGTGGAAGGACTGAGTCTTGTGGTAGTTCTATTTACAGACTTTTTTTCACAACAGCTATACCATTTTGCATAACTAACAACAATGGACAAAAGTTCTGATTCCCCTGGTCCTTGTCAAAATTTATTTTCTGCTGTTGTTGTTTTTTCTAAGCAGCTATAGTGCAAGGGAAAAGGCATTTCATTGTGATTTACCACTCTTTGAAATCCAACGACCAGAAGAATCTAGTTGTGTCTCTGATGACTATTTAAATGTCCCCTGTAGTGAAAAGTCTATTCCAGTCCTGGGCTTATTTGTAATTGGCCTGTCTTTTTGTTTTTAAGTTTTTGACAGGTATATATATATATTTGTGTTATTAGTTTTTCATTGAATATATAGTTTCTGAAGACATTCTCATACTTTAGCTTGCCTTTTCGATTTTTGATAAATATTTTTAATAAAAAAATATTATTTTGTATGAGGTCTCATTTAACTATTTTGCCTTTTGTTGTTTGCACTTTTATTATTATGTTAGATAACCCATTGTTAAAAGCCAGACCTGACAGCACTGTTCCTGCTTCTTCCTCAGAGATTTTTTTTTACTTTAGTTTTCATTTTATGGAACCTAATCCCTTATGAATGTTTTGGCATATTGCTGGAGGCATGGATCCTGCTTCCTTTCTCTGCATATGGAAATCTAATTTTCCCGGCACCATTTATTAATGAGATTCTTGTTTCCCTATTATATGAACTTAGCACTGGTCAAAAATCAGCTGAACAGAGAATTGTGGAGTCATTTGTGACTGTTAGATAAATTTTATTCTATTGCTCTTAGGTTACTGTGACTCAGAATCAACTCGATGGCAGTGCTTTATTATTATTATTTTTAATGTCCCTATTTTTATCCAGGGCTAGGTTATTTTGATTACTATAGCTGTATAATATATTTTAAAATTGGGCAGTCTTAATTTTTCTTTATTCTTCTCTTTCAACATTTTTTTTTAGCTATCCTAGCCTCTTGCCTTTATATATAACATTAAGGATTGTTTTTCTTTCTTTTTTTTTTTCATCATATCATGTTTTGCACTTGCTGTGTTCTTTTTTTTTTTTAATCATTTTATTAGGGGCTCATACAACTCTTCACAATCCATACATACATCATTTGTGTCCAGCACATTAGTACATATTTTGCCATCATCATTCTCACAACACCTGCTTTCTACTTCAGCCCTTGGTGTCAGCTCCTTATTTCCCCCTCCTTCCCCACGCCCTACTCCCCCTGAATCCTTGATAATTTATAAATTATTATTATTTTATCATATCTTACACCATCTGACGTCTCCCTCACCCACTTCTCCGCTGTCCGTCCCCAAGGGAGGAGGCCATATGTAGACCTTGTAACCTGTTCCCCTTTTCTCCCTCACCTTCCCTCCACTCTCCCGCTATCGCCACTCTCTCCACTGGTCCTGGGGGGTTCATCTGTCCTGGCTTCCTGTATTTCCAGTTCCTATCTGTACCAGTGCACATCCTCTGGTCCAGCCGGATATGTAAGGTAGAATTGGGATCATGATAGTGGGGGGGAGGAAGCATTAAAGAACTAGAGGAAAATTGTATATTTCATTGTTGCTGCAGTGCACTCTGATTGGCTTATCCATTTCTGTAAAAAGGGTTGTTGTAATTGTGGTTAAAACTCCATTGAACCTATAGATCATTTTGCTTGGTATTGGCATCTTTACAATATTGTATCTCACAGTTCTTAATATTTTTCTATTTATTTATGTTTCTATGATCTCTTGGTGATGTTTTATAATTTCCATCATGTAGGTCACATACCTAGTTAAATTCAATCCTACATATTTCATTATCTTCAGTTCTATTGTAAGTAGAGGCATTTTCTTAATTTCCCTTTCTGATTTATCATTTCTGATGGATAGAAACCCAACTGACAAGTGTGTGTTCCACCTTACATCCTGCAACTGTGCTAAATTCCTCTATTATCTCTAGAAGTTTTCTTATAGATTAAAAAACAAGGTTTATGTATATAAAATCATGTCATTTGCAACTAGAGACTCATTTATTTCTTTTCTAATCTGGATATCCTTTATTTTTTTTCCTTGTCT